CACAAGACATGGGGAGACAATGGCGTAGTTAGAAGATACAATTGTTGGAACACTTGTTATAAATCGAGCTGTTATCATGGTAAGATAATTGTTTATTTCAGTACGTTCGAAACTTTTTTCATTTATTTGTTAAATAGTATTAGAACGTGTAAAGCAGTTAAAGATTAAGCAGTTGATTAACATCAAATTTGATCATCGCAGAAATTTATTGCTAGTGTTTTCATTTTAATCTGTCACAGTAAATATATTGTAGTCGACTTCCATTATTTGGAGAGTCACATACTTAGATTAATATGACCACTTGGGATACTACTTGCTCCAAGCTGAACCTCTAGAAAAATTATTAGCTCTCATTAGAAAAACTAGCAGTCTATTAGATAACTTCCAGGTGTTGGTAATTGAATATAGTTATTCTTTATTTTGCTGTATTCCACAGCATCTGCAGTAGTTATTGGATATAATATCTATTCTTGAAGTGAAACGATCAGTTAAGTTCTAACCGTAGATAATACCTGTCAGTAAATATAATGTTATAATAAAATATAATGTTTCAAATTATATTTTTGTGTGGAAAAATGATTCCGTGCACATTTTTTTCCACTCCAATTTTGATCAGTAAAATCTTATTGACAGAAATGTTCCTCTTCTCAAAGTACAGTAGCGGTTATGGAAACTGCATCACCCATTAAATATCACATTTTTGTCAAATATTCTAAAAAATTAAAAACTACTTTTGTAAAATAAATGTTTATTTCATTTTTATATGTATTTTACATCATTTTATAAAATTTTTGATCATCAATTTGAGAACTTTTTGAAAATATAAGGTAGTATTCCGGCATATCCATTTTTTTCAAATCTTAAAGAAATCTTTTTCTACTAGGAAAACATTTTTTTTTTACTGTAGTTTATTGTAGATACTTTAACAACTTAATGTATTCACAGAACATAAAAATAAAAAAAAAAGTAAAGAAAAAAGTATTAATATTTGGTAGAACCATCTCTAACCTTACTAGTGGCTAGTAAACTATAGGAATTCACCAGACTTTGTAAATTTATCAGAGAAATTTCGTCATATTAAATTTTTTCTACAGTTTTATTGAGCTCACTGGTTGATTTTTTTTTCCAATTTGGTGCCCAAAATTTCCAATCGGATTCAAATCAGGGCTGTATCCTGGCCACGAAAGCATTTGGATTCATTCTTAAATGAAATGTTAATATATTAAATGTTAATATATTTTCTTCAGGTTGTTTTTTATTTCAAAATAGGGCATTTACATTTTGTAAACGGTAAGCTGAAAAATATATTACTATCCTAAAACCACATTTAATACTATCAATGGATGGGGATTTGTGTTATTGCAATTTTCCAATTTTTCAAGACGAGATAATATTATTTTTTGATGGACACCATCTGTCATTTTGATAACTTTATATATGCTTTTCATGAGGTATTTTCTAGTGGAGCTAATTAGAATATCTCTGGTTATAATGTATCTACCATTCTGATATGCAATAAAACTTTTAAAATTTTGTGTAACTAGTAAATTCTAGTAAATTCTACTCGTATTAACTTACTTGTTACTAATTTACCAATGTGTTAATTTGATGAAAATGGCAGCTTTCTTTCTTGTGAGTGTTTTGACACATTTAGCTCTTTTAATGCATAGGTTTTTATGTTAAGTTTCTGTAGAGCTATAGGTTGGCATGTCTCAGATAGTTATTCCATTCTATGTTTTAGTGTTATTAAATTTTAGTTTTACTGGATTTCGTTGATGTTCGTTGTTAAATTAAAAAATTTTCGAAAATATAATTAGGTTCTTATTTTTAATAATCAGGCATAAATTGTATTAAATACATAATTCTAAAATATTGACGAATATATTATACAATGCTGATAATATATAACATTTTGTATTTTTATGTTCATCTATAAGAAGGCATGATTTTTTATTCAAGTACATGAGATCTATTACAAAATTATAGATTCTGCTAAACATTCGGATATAGTCTTTTTTTTACATGAATGTGAATCATGTCAATGGACGAAATATGATTTTTATCAGGAAGGAGAAGTTCATGTCGGAGACCATATAAGTTTTTAATTACAATTAAATTATGCAATAATTCCAATAAAATTAAAAAATCTATTGAATTTATATGACAAATTTTAACTCTTTTGAATCCATGAGAAAATTAATTTTAATAAGCAATGCTACAATATTATGCTTTTAATTTCTTGTCAATAATTAAATATTTTCTTGTCAAACGAAAGTTTTAGGTCTAGCTGAAGACGTCTTTCAAATCCAGTAACTCTCTATACAATCTTCGAAATATCAAACCAAGTAATCACACATCGCAAATTATTGAGTATCCACTTTCCTTTAGTTTTACTTGGAACAGTAAAATTAAATTAACAGTTGAACTACTTGAGGAAATCCTAACGGTGTGTTTCTTATCTAACCCACTTAAAGATTTTATGGAGTTGAAAATAAGTTAATATTTAACAATAAATATAACAGTTTAAGAGGATTCTGTGAATTAAAATTAAATCATTAATTTATAGAATGTTTAAACTATATCCTGCACTAAAACCGCATACAATTATTAACTGGGTTTTAATAAAAATTCGTCTTTAACCAAATACATTGTTTCTAAAACTGTAATTTGAAACTACAGAAATCTTATATATAAGTAAAGGATAAAGATTATATATCTAAATCGAGTACAATCAGTAAGTTTTGTCTAAATTCAATGGTAACGAAGCAATTGACAAGCTTACGAAGGATGAGTTGTTTAACTACCTTCAGTAGCAGCTTCATCTTTCTGCGGAACATCAGACTATATTAGTACTTAAAAAGACCACATTGAAATTATTTCTGATTTTATAAACCGAGTCAAATCGTTCAGGTCAACAACAAAAAGGCAGTCAAGTTTCCAATCTAATTCTGAATTCGGTGTTATTTGCCGGGAAAGGGGCAACCTCGCTGCTTGTTAGCCTTAACCATTTTATGGTTTAGGAGGACGACATTTTTTTCACCCATTCAGTAAGAAGAGGATAAAAAATAAAAGTTATACTGGAATAATATATATATACCAAAGCTTTGATAACTAAAACCACTTATACGGAGTTTCGACCGAAACTACTTAAGAATTGTATGCAATTAAGCAAAAATAGTTTAATAATCATTGTAGGAATTCTAACAGTGCATTGTTTGTTAAACTATTACCTTTCGAAACTAGGAACGTACTCTAATAAAATTTGTAAATTTTATAGAGAAGAGAATGAGATTTCAAAACATGTACGAATATTTTACCTGGTACTGATACACAAATAAAAAAAATACCTAGGTGGGTATATCACGCCGAATATAATACTACAATTTATGGAGGAAGTTGGACTGGGACAAATACTCTAAGATGTATTATATATACAGGTCGCAGTGCAAATTCCTCCTAAATATTCAAAATTATTATATTCGTATATATTTTTATTACCTGCAAGTGTTTTACACATTATCTTCATCTGGTGCTTTTTGAAACTAATGATGTCTTGAGTTTGAGTCTTGAACTATAAAACATTGTTGGTTTTATCAATACCATCTCTAGTGACCTTATAATAAATTTTAAAGCTACCTAAAAGTATCAGCTCTTCTTAATATAATACTAATTACTTAAGATAGTTACTGGATATTGGATTACTGTATTTCAAATTAAGCAAAATTTCTGGTTATAGAACGATTTAAATCCAATAGTACATTAATAGAAATATGTATATATGTATATTTATTTTCATTTTAAATTTCATTTTTACAATATGATGTATCTTAAATTAATATATAAATAAATATAAAAATAAATATAATTAAAATAGCGACTGTGACATGATGTCGTCCGTCGACTTATATTGTAATAGTAGTATTAAAAGTAGTTGTGCAATAGTGAGTATAACAATACACTAGTATAAACACATTATAAATGATAGAAGAGCCACAAACTATATATTAATTATTATATTGTGATATTAAATAATACCGATATGCTATACAATTTTTAACATATTCTGCTACTCTTACCCATTCTACCTCCGAACCGTTTAAAACATTTATAATGCCTTCATAAGATAGAATAGCTTTACCAAAGCAAGCCAATCGGAACTCTTGTAGAATAGGACAACGACCAAGAAAATGCACAATATCTTCAGTCTCATCTAAATTACACATACTACAGAGCGCAGATCTACTCGTATATATATCAAATCTGTTTCCATTTAGCTGTATCATGCTACTTCTTGCTTTGAGTATCCAGGTGATATTTTTAATATGTGTTATGGCAGCTATATATTCCTTTCCTAGTGATGATGTTAAGTCTTTATATATAGAAATATTGCAGAAAGGATAATTAATAACCATTTATTTACAAAACGATTTATAAATTTATCGTGAATTTATACTTTTCACAGGACCATATGTTAGGTACGGGGTCAAACAACAAGTCAAGTTATTATACAATTAGAAATAGAATTTGATGGACATAGAGACATTAATTCACTAATAATAATATATGTAAATGCAGCTATACGAGTGATGTTCCTTCTAATGCCTTTAAAGGAGGCAGCCATTCATCAAGTTAACTTCCAGCTAAGTCAGCTAAGTGACTTGATTTAACGTATATTTGTATTAATAAACACCTACAAATAAATCAATTATCTCCAAAAATTAACAAGTCCTGGCTTTACTACATTTATACTTATTTTGATGTTAATTTTTCCTTGCCGAGAGTCCAAACAAATTATATACTATATACGTACTATAAACTAATTAATAAATTCGAATAATTCCTAAAACCACTGATGATGAGTACTTGGCAATATTCGAAACAGTATAAATTAAATAAAATTTTTGTCCTTGTCTTTTCTTTGCTATTCGAATCTGTCTACAATTATTTTATTTAATAATAAATTAAATATTGTTAATTATATACCATATTTTTGCAGATTTTGTCATCAGCTTTTTGCAACGGTTACCTCTACTAAATCGGTGTACATTTTTCTGGTTTTAAGTTGAACCGCTAATCACTTTAATCAATGATTACTATGCAGCGTTTTTTCATCAATTTTCTGACAAATATAAAGCTGACATAATCTAAATGTTTGGTTCTTGAAAAAGTATTTAATTTTATTTTGGGATTAAAATCTACCAAAACAGATTGATTTAATACATTCATTCTAAATTTTGCAACCCTTCCCAATCCATTGGCATTGTGTCTTCAATGCCGCATTTAATTAAGCTGTAGTTGTCCTTGCACAATTAAATCTCTTCTTATTTTTATCTGCAGTAATTGTCAACGATCGCTTACATGAAATTGTGCATTCGGATGATCATCCCGTATCTTAAAAGCATTTTAAAGAAAAGTAAAATTATTTTCCCGTCACACCGAAATTCTAAATTACAATTTCAATTCAAAACTTCAAACTCAATTTCAATGAACTTCAGACAAGAACAAGAAATTTGATGAAATAAAATTATAATTCCCACAATAAATTATTGAAAATCTCATAATATTTGATACTTTTTTTCGCGGTATGATACGAAATTCGCCTAAATCGCTTCGTCAAAATCCACAAATTAGAAGATGCGGGTTGTTTTGCTTATTACAATACTCGATACCATGAGCACCATGAAGCACCATTAAGCACCATGAAGTACCAGAAAGAAAACAATTTTATGTATTATTCACACGCGATCATCGCATAATGTAAAACGCACCCTGTTTGCAGCGTTTACGGATGACTTAGCTGCGTGAACAGCAGATACTATCAAAGCGGTAAAGCGATAAAACCAGATAATAATATTTTGCACTTAATGTGCCTTTATGTTTGTAGGCTAAGAGGTAAGAGGTTGAAGGGCCGAGCGTTTAGCATTCTCCTGTCATGGTATGAAGTGTGAAAACTATTTTTGGAAAATGGGCTTTAATTGACGAAGGTTAATTGAGAAAAGTCAATTAAGATAAAGTCCTTTTCAAGTATGTGTTGCTTTAAGGATAGAGTTTAAAAATTATTTTTTTTGGCATTGCTAATGAACAGTTATCGTTCCCATAATTTTCTGACTAATGAACTACATTACAATGGTGAGAAAATCTAGTTGAAAATGTGTAATCCTCACCAAAAATGAAAAATAAAAAATAAACGGCAGCGATCGCGATCAGAAAACGGGAGTGATCGATATAAATAGGTTTTGATACAGTTAATTTTTTAGTTTATATAACCAAAAACATTACCTCAACTAAGTTTACACCATAATAAAAGTTTTATTGTATTCCAAAGATTAGGGATAAAAAAACAAAAATCCACCTAAGGATTCTTGAAGATCCCTTTAAATTGCGTGCCGTTTAAGACAGTAAATACTTTTTGTATTAAGTT